CTTCAGTGAGCGTGTGTCTGAAATTTATCTTTTTCTCTCAAAATTCATTGAGCGCTTTTCAACATTTTGTAGATTCTTTTTTTTTTAAATTTTACTAAGCGCTCCTAAAATTGAGCGCTTCTGAAATTTTTTTTTTGTCAAATTTACTAAACGCTCTTGAAATTTTTCTTTTGAAATTTACTAAGCGCTGAAATTTTTTAATTCTCGAAATTCAATTTAAATTAATTTTTTCAAAATTGAGCGCTTTTGAATTTTTTTTTTTCAAACTTGAGCGCTCTTGAAATTTTTTAATTTTCTTTCTCAAAATTCAATTTAAATTTAATTTTTTCAAAATTGAGCGCTTTTGAAATTTTATAAATTTTTTTATTTAAAATAAAAACTAAAAATTTTTTACATAGTGAGCGCTTTTAAAAATAATATTCGAAAAATATTTTTCTTTATTTATAATTTTCAGTGAGCGTTTTTCGAAAATTAAAAATATTATTATTCATTGAGCGACTTTAAAATTGAGAATTATTTCAAAATCGAGCGCATTGAAATTTTGTATAAATTTTAAAATTTCAAAGAGCGCTTTGTTAAATTTTTATAGAATTTTTTTCTCTACATTCAAAAGGAACGCTATTCAAATAGTGAGCGCAGAAATTAAAAATATTTTTAAATCTTTATTCAGCGCTTCTTGAAAAATTTCTTTTTACAATTACAGCGAGCGCTTATATTATTTTTGAAATTTTTAATATTTTATCCGCTTTCAGTGAACGCTACCTTGAAAATAAAAAAATTTTAGAGTCAAAGAGCGCTATTTGCCGCTCAAAAAAGCGTTCAAAAAATTAATCGCTTTGTTAAAAAAAATTTCTTTTTGTTCAATTTAGATTTTTTTGAATTTTTTTCTCAAAAATATTTCTCTTTTTTCCTCGATTTCCGGCCGAGGTCGTTCTACAATTTTACCTTTTTCTCAAATGCACGTTGGAGGCCGACGTAGCGGGTGGGGGTGGGGGTGGGGCACCCCTTTCCCTGATTCTGACAATTGTTAGCATTTTGTTAGTGCGCATGTGATGCTATTTTGTATTTCTCTCTCTCTCTCACACATTCTCATTCTCACTCTCACGCTATCTCTAACTTGACACTATTTTTTCTCCTCTTGTCGCTTATTACATTATTAAATGTATAAGTCAGTGTAAAAAAAAATTTCTCATGTATTTTGTATCAAAAAAAAAAAAATTCTTGTGACTCGAAAACAAAATAAAAGTTTTTTTTTTAGTAAAAAATTAAAATCCCTTCAAAAAAAAAAAATTGTCAATTTTGGTGGGGGTTGGGACTATTTTTTTCTTTTATTTCTACTTTTCTGTCAGTCTTTATTTTCAGTCTCGTGTTCCAAAATTTTTGAAACCTTTTTTTGTTCTCAAAGAAAGGAAATTCTTTTTCTTTCTTTGAAAGGAAACACAAAAAAAATTGTTTGCAAATTTGAAAATGAGTGAAAATAATTAGCGCTCGATTTGCGAATTCGAAAAAATTTATTCAGAGCCGAAAGTCTAATTTAAATTTCTAATTTAATTCTGAATGTTTTGACTTCAATATATATTTAAATTTCTTCTTTGCGCTCGTTGGTCGAATCTATCTAAAAATTCAAATTCGAGCGCTGACGTTTTGTAAACATTTTTTTTTCTTGTAAAACTGAAGTATTTTTTTCGTAATTTTCGCAAAGTTGAGAGGAAAAATATTTCCCAAATCGAGCGCGTTTAGAAAATGCTAAGAATAAAATAATTAAAAATATTTTTAAAAAAATTCTTTTAGTATTTTTCCCACCAAAATTGACAGAAAAAAAAATAAAATTTGGACGAATGTTTCATAAAACTTTTTTCCAAATTGGTTTTTGTTTTTCGTTATTTATTCTCTCTTTCGTTTTCTTTCATTTTTTTTATTTCACTGAACCTCCCTCTTAAACACTATTGCGTATATTAAATTTAATTATTTAGATTAATTAAAAATTTTTATCGATACCGCGAGATAATAAATTTTTTTCGCGATTTAATTAAATACCGCGCACATTTTTTTTTTGCTGAAGTTTCTCGAGTATAAAAATACTATTCTAAACCAGTCGAAGGTCGCGCTCCTTGTAGATAAGTCTTTTTTGTTTAATTTTATAATTAAAAGTCACGTATTTTCAACTTTTTTTTTAAAAAAAAACTTTTTTAAATACTTTGCCTTGTGCGAAAAAAATTGAAGCTGAATTTTCTATTTTTATTTCTGCTGTTGATGCAGTTTTTTTAGTAAACTTTTTTCTTCTAATTTTTTATTTTTTTTATAAATATTTTAAATATTGAGCGTAAAAAGTTTTTTTTTTTTTTTTTTTAAATTTTTGTTAAATTTTGAAATACAATGAAAATTGATTAATATTTAAAAAAGAAAAAATTACGAGCGTTGCGCTTTATAGAAAAATGAATAAATTCAAAAAACTAACGAGCGCTAAATTTTTGGAAAAATTTTGTAAATTTTCAACGCTTAAAATACAAAACTAGTGATAATGAAAAAAATTAATAACAAAAATTTCAATATTAAAAAAAATTAAAAGTAACCACCAGCGTTGCGCCTTGGAAAAAAATTGATATTTTTTTATTTCTAAAATTGTCAATTTTTCAAAAGAAAAAATTTTTGAAAATAAGTTTACAAGGGAGAAAACGTTTATAAACAAATTTTCAAAAAAGAAAATTTTTAAATAAATTTTCAAAAGACAATATTTTAAAATAAATTTTCAATTTCCTAAAAGTTGAAAAAATATTCTCTTTACTAAATTTTGTAGTTGAAAATACGTGGAGCACTATTAATTTTTTTTTAAATCGTTCGCAATAAATAATTAAATATTTATATGTGTGACGCTTTTAATTAATTAATTTTTTCTTTTCCTTTTTCCTTTAATGGATTAAACACCATGAAAAATGACGACGATGATATTTTAATTAATAAATTTGAAGTATTTAATTTAATTAACAATATATATTTATTTATTTATTTATTTATTTATAGAAAATTCTGAAAGACACGTCAAATCACGTGATTATTCTAAAAAAATTTCCGGGCTATATATTCTATAAATTTTTTTTTCGCATATATTTATATATCGCTATTCGTTGGTTGGATTCGTCATCTAAAAATTAAAAAAAAATCCCTCACAAACTACACATGGAAATCTAATAATTAATAGTTCTCTTTTTTTTATTAACGATCTACTAATATTTCTTAACATTTTTTTTCGAGCTACTATATATATATTTTTTTTTTTATTAAATACGTATATTTTCCTTTTTCTTTCTTTTTTTATTTATTTAGAAACTCTACGCTTTCGATAATCGATATTTCGATCGATTTTTTTAATTAATTCAAAAAAAAAATTTTTTTTCCTTAAATCCTCCGGAAAAGAAACATTAATTTCTTTTTATTGTAAAAAATAAATAGAAACGCGCCATTTCTGTGAGAAAAAAATTATTTTTTTTCCTTGGAGGATTGAGAAAAAAAATGGCGCGAAAGAAAAATTAATCGAGAGGGCGAGGGGTAGGGAGGGGGTTTATTTACAGCGGTTTCTAGTTTTTTTTTGTTTTGATTTGATATCGACTCTTTTTGTTGAGAGTTTATTTTTTATATGCGCTTTTCTAAAGTTCATCGTCTCGAGATTTTGGAGCGTTTCGAATCTCGACACGGGATTTGTAATTAGGAATTTTAAATAAAAAATTCTCTTTACAAGAGAATTTAAAAATAAATGTTTACTAACAGTTTAAGAAAGAAAAAAAATTTTTTAAATTTAAAAAATTCAAAATAGGCGCAAAATAAATGAGCGGAAATTGTGAGGCCGCACGTTGCGCTCGAGCGGAAAAAAAAGACGAAAACCCTTTTCGAAAATAAATAGAAAAAATTGTTTTTCTCCGCATTTTTACTTTCTTTTGTAATATTTTTTAAATTTTGCATTGTCTTTCTCCTAATTTAGAAAATTAAATTACGCAGCAAATTTTTTAAACAAAATGAAACTAAAAAATTCGGGTACGGCCGACTTGCTTCCTATTTTTGCACGAATTTAAAAATCGCCTTATAATAATAATAAGCAGTTAAATTTAAACCTAAACGTTAATAATAATAATTATAATAATAATAATTATAATAATAATAATAATAATAATAATAATAATAATAATAATAATAATAATAATTATAATAATAATAATAATAATAATAATAATAATAATAATAATAATAATAATAATAATAATAATAATAATAATAATAATATTAATCGTTAAAATGTAAAAAATGTAAAAAATAATTACAAAATGTCATCATAATAAATGTGTTTCTTTTCTTGTGATGATTTTGAGCACATCTCTCTTACTCTCTCATGCTCTCTCTCTCGGCACCTTCGACCTGCTTAAAAGGCCAAGTTGTCTATTTTTTTTAACTTGTTTTTTTTTTGCTTAAATATTTATACAGAAAATTTCGATTTATTATTATTTGTACATTTGTTAATTATTATTAATATTTTTTGGATTGTCCAAGATTACGACGAAGGTGACTAGAGAGAATGTTAGAAAGGATTTTCAAATTGTCAAAAGCGAGTGATTGTTAAGAATTTTTATTTCTTTAAGAATTGAATTCTTAAATTTAATTTTAAATTCAATTTATAATTTCAAAATTAAAAACTTAATATAACTTTTCTTTTTTTGCACGGCCAATTTTTTTTTTTGTTTTTTTTTAAATTCAGATACTTTAATATTTTATTGTTCTGAATTTCTAAGCACTTCGATTTTGTAGTTTAATTAAAAATTCAAAAAAACAAAAGCGCTCAAAAAATTGAATTAATTCAAAAAATTAAAACATAAGCGTTGCCGAATCTTTTTTCCATTTTTTTAAAATTCAAACGCTTTGAATATTTTATAATTATAAATTTCTAAATGCTTCAATTTTGTAATTGAATTTTTAATTTAAAGATAGAAGCGCTGGAAAATTTAAATTTATTCAAAAAATAAAAATTTGAGCGTTGCCGAATTTTTTTTTTTTTTTTAATTAAAAGACATAAATATTTTTTGTTCTAAATTCCCAAGCGCTTCAATTTTGTAGTTTTATTTAAAATTCAACAACAGAAGCGCTCAAATATTTGAATTTATTTAAAAAATAAAAATTTGAGCGCTGCCGAAATTTTTTTCTATTTTAAAATTAAAACGCTTCAATATTTTATTATTCACTAATTCCTAAGCGCTTTGATTTTGTAGTTTAATTTAAAATTCAAAAGCGGAAGCGCTCGAAAATTTAAATTTAATCAAAATTTGTTTAATTTAAGCGCTGCCGAGATTTTTTCCATTTTTTAAATTAAAACGCTTCAATATTCTATTGTTAATTAATTCCTAAGCGCTTCAATTATGTAGTTTTATTTAAAATTCAAAAACAGAAGTGTTAAAAAATTCGAATTTAATCAAAATTTCAAATTTTAGCGCTATCGAGATTTTTTTAAATTTAATGTTTTAAAAATGATGCATTATTTAAATATTAATAAAAAAAAAAAAAATTTGTAAAAGATTAAAAAACACTCGATTTTGAAAGTTTGATGACAGATATTGGTTGATACTAGCCAAAGTGTGTAAAGGGAACCCAATTGGGATAAGTGAGGGGTGGCTGATGTGGAAGTGCGTGTGTTGCCGCGTGTGTGTGATAGTGTAAAGTACGGCCGGCTCCTGCTGGCATTACTGGAACGGCAATCGCTGATTGGGCCTGATGGCCCACTACCTCTACGAACTGGCTTGAGCCTGAGCCTGGAATTGCCACCTGTGCAGCGTGGGCAGCCGCGCTTTGACTTGTCACATAATATGGATTGTGTGCAGGAGGCCTCACACTGTTGTTGTTGTTGTTGATGTTGTTATAGTTGTTGTTGTTGTTATTATAGATGTGGATGTCGAGTTGAGTTGTTGTTCGTAGTCGGGTACCAAAGACACCACAAAACCAAAACCACAAAGAATTAGCCCAGAAAAAAAGACGGGAGGAAGGGGAAAAAAAACTAAATGGAAATAGAACAAAGGATTTTTACAACAAAAAATATTTCTTTGCTTTACTCATTTTTACTCATTTTTTCAAATTTCAATTTTTAAATCAATTTTCGAAATTCAATCATAATTCGAAATATATTTTAATAATTCAGAAATATATTTTTTGTTGATTGGTGAAAAGATAGGAGATTTTGACAAAATTGTTGTAGAATCGGTAATGTAGGGTCACAGTCGGTAATTACCTTTGTTGGCATCGGTATGTCGGTAAAAACTATTGGCAAGTCGGTAATAATCGTCGATCGGTCGATAACAATTATGACCGAGTCGATAATAATTAGTAAGTCGATAAAGATGGTAATTTGGCCGATAATAAACAAGTCGGTAATAATTGTCGGTAAGTTGATAAAGATACTAAATCGGTCGATAATGATTGTCGGTAATTCGGTAAAGATGGTAATTCTGTCGGTAATAAACAAGTCGGTAATAACGGTCGGTAAGTCGATAAAGATAGTAAATAGGTCGATAATAAATAAGTCTGTAAATATGGTAAACCAGGCGGTAATAAATGTCGGTAAGTCGGTAAAGATGATAGTTCTGTTGATAATAAACAAGTCGGTAATAATTGTCGGTAAGCAGGAAAAGATAGTAAATCGGTCGATAATATTTGTCGGTTAGTCGGAAAAGGTGGTAATCCAGTCGATAATAATTATAAACGAGTCGATAATAATTGTCAGTAAGTCGATAAAGATGGTAATTTGGTCGATAATAAACAAGTCGGTAATACTTGTCTGTAAGTCGATAAATATGGTAATTCAGTCGATAATAAAGGAGCCGGTAGTTACCTTTTGTTAACTTTGATAAGTCGGCAAAAACTATTAGCAAGTCGGCAATAAAAGTCGAATGGTCGATAACAATTATAAAACAGTCGATAATAATGGTCGGTAAGTCGATAAAGATGGTAATTTGGTTGATAATAAACAAGCCGGTAATAACTATCGGTAGGTCGGTAAAAATGGTAATTCTGTCGATAATAAACAAGTCGGTAATAATTGTCGGTAAGTCGATAAAGATGGAAATTTAGTCGATAATAGAAAAGTCGGTAATAATTGTAAGGATAGAAATTCGGTCGATAATAAACAAGTCGGTAACAATTGTCGGTAAGTCGATAAAGATGGTAATCCAGTCGATAACAATGACAAAAAAGCCACTACAGACGGGAATTCGGTCGATAATAAACAAGTTGGTAATAATGGTCGGTAAGTCGATAAAAATTATGAACGAGTCAATAATAATTGTCGATAACAATTCTAATACGGTCGTTAGTTTTGTCGATAAGTCGATAATCATTATAAACGAGTCGATAATAATCGTCGGTAAGTCGGTAAAAATTATAAACGAGTTGATAATAATTGTCGGCAAGTAGAAAAAGATGGTAATTCGGTCGATAATGAATGTCGGTCAGTTGATAAAGATGGTTAATCCCGTCGATAATTATTATAAACGAGTCGGTAATAATTGTCGGTAAGTCGATAAAAACACTAAGTGGCTGGGGAAAAATTGTCGATAAGACGACAAGTTTACTGAAACCGATTCAATGGAAACTAGAAATTATGTTTTGCGGATGTCGGTAATATTTGTCGGCAAGGAAGATAATTTCGGTCGATAAGAAAGAAATCTACCAAAATACGTTAAAATTTTGTTGTTGTCTTTAATACTACGACTATTAATAAAAACCACTAAGTTCTTAATATTTATAACGCCCTGACCAAATTCCCAGTCGATAAGTCAGGTCACTATTTTACTAACAGTCGATAAATCAGTCGCAGTTTTTTTTGTTAATTAAAAAAATACCGTCAATTTTTTTTTTTAGGAAGTGAAAGGATTAAAATAAGGAAAAATTAAAATTCTTTTTGTTTGGTTTTTTTTTTGGTTTATAAATTTTTGTTGGAAAATTAGGATTAAAATAATAAAGCATTAAAAGCGACAAAGCTCTCTGAAAGCCACCGCAGTACGACGCGTTTACGCCCATTTTATCTACAGTATATTTTCTTTTTTCTTTTCTTTTTTTTTTGCTTTTTTTATATTACCAAAAAAAGAAACCAAAAAAATCCGCGAAAAAAAATTACGTAGACTTACGTCCATAAATTAATTTTGCTCCCAGCTTTTAAAAGCGCAAAAAAAATAATTACTTTTTACCCCGCATGAAAATTTTCAAAAATTATATTAAAATAAAAATTTGATTAAAAAAAAGGAAAATAATTAAGGAAGTTAAACAGAAAAAAAATGTTAGTGGGGAACAAATATATTGGAAAAAAAATTAAGAAAAACGACGAGGAAAATGAAAATTAATTTTCAAAGAAAAGCAGAATGAGAGAGAGAGAGAAAGAAATAAAGAAAGGTCCGTTAGAGTCCAGTTTTGACGCGTTTCCAGTAATGCCAATCAGGGTTTCTTTTTTTTTTGCCTTCACAATCTCATTATTTATTTAATTACTATTAAATATATTGATTGATTTTTCCAGGGCATCATCCTTGGGTTTCGTTTAGAACACATTTTTTACTATACAAAATTCTCCGAATTTTCTTTTCCACTATTTTTATTTATGGTGATAAAAAAAATTTTTTTTTTTGTGAAGTTTTTCATTTTTTTTTCTTAACGTGGCGTGTACAAATTCACACATATACATGTATATATATAAATAGATCAAGACAAACATTAAAGCCCAGCAATGAAACAGAGAACATAGAGCGTGTGTGAGCTTTGCTAGAATTTTTTTTTTTTGCTTTTTTTTATTCTTTAGCGAGAAACGAAAACTTGAGCTGTCGAGAAAATTAATTTATGGACACGATGTGAAATTCACGTGGCATGCGGCATGATTTAAATGCTGAGAAAATGATACATATATGTATATAAAAATAAATTAAGCAACAACTTGGCAGAAAATTAAAATAAAGTTTCTCCATCATTTTTTTCTCGTTTACGGTATTTTAAGGTTAATCCAAATAAATTAAAACGCAAAAATGAGTCACATTTTTTATATTCGTTTTAATAAATTTAATTTCAATAAATTTCCACTAAAATTTCAATTTTTTTTATCTTAATTTTCAGCCAAGTCGCTTTCACGATACAATATCGAGAAATATCAAAACTTACTGCCACAATTTATCGATATAATCGATAAAAAATCTTTTTTGATAAGCTTTTCCAAATTTTCATAAATATCCAAATATCGAACAATCGATTATTTTTAATGCCTCAATATATTGAAATTTCGTTAATACTCAACATTTCGCTAGTTCAATATATCGATATTTCGATACATCGATAGTTCGATATATTTAATATATTTTAATATATCAATAATTCGATATTTCAATACATTGATAGTTCGATATATTTCGATAAATCAATAGTTTAATATATTTCAATACATCGATAGTTCGATACATTGATAGTCCGATATTATTAAATATATATATTGATAGTTCGATATATTTTAATATATCGATAGTTTGATATATCGATAGTTCGATATATTGGAGTTAGGTTATATCGATAGTTTGATATATTAAAATTTTGATACATCGATAGTTCGATTAGTTAATATTTTTGTAACGACAGTTCGATATATCGATAATTCTGTTTTGATAGATCGATATATTGATATTCAGATTATTGAGTATTTCGATAATTTCTGTATCGACAGTTTCGATATTTTACGATATATCGAATTGATAATTTTGGAAAAATGGAAAATTTCGATTTTTCGATATATATCGATAGTGTATCGTTATTTAACTTTGATGATGATTAGGCTTGCACCGATCGTACTACGTTAGTCAAATTCCCTAACAAATTAATTTTTTAAATAAAATTATCATTTTTTTTTTTTTTTTTGATTTGTTAATTATGAATGACTTAATAGTAGAGCTAGTCACGTTTACTATATTATATATAATTTTATTACTAATTATTATCCTCATGAGTATAATTTTTATTTTTATTCTCATCACATGAGAAATGTTTATTTTTTTATATATATTAGTTGAATTATAATCGTGAGGATTAACATTTTTTATTATTCTTTATTAAAAAATTGAATTAATTTTTCAAAGAAAATAATGATAAATTATGATTTATCGAGAGAAAATAATAATAATAATAATAATAATGAAACAATGTTTACCTGTTTTGGGCGATTTTTCTCAATGTATCGGGACTGCGTATTAATTTGTCAAGTGTTTGCGTTAAATTAGCAAATGTAGGCCGATGTGTACGCTCCTTTTGCCAACAGTCCAACATTAGTTGATAAATTGCTTCGGGACAGTCCATTGGCGCTGGTAGTCGATAGCCTTTTTCAATGGACTTTATCACATCTTGATTAGACCAGTTCCAATATGGCCGCTCACCATATGACATAACCTCCCAACAGACGATACCCATACTCCAAACGTCGGATGCGCTTGTGAATTTTCTGAACGCTATTGCCTCAGGCGCTGTCCATCGTACAGGGATTTTTCCACCCTAAACAAAATATTCAAAAATTTTTTTTTTATTTAAAAATTCACAAAATTGTTGGTAAAGTCGGTAATAATGATGAAAAAGTCGGTAATAACTGTCAATAAGATGATAGAATTAAATAAAGTCGATAATAACTGTCGGTAAGTCGATAAAAATGGTAATTCTGTCGATAATAAACAAGTCGGCAATAACTGTCGGTAATTTGGTAAAGATAGTAATTTTGTTGATAATAAACAAGTCGGTAATAATGGTCGGTAAGTCGATAAAGATGGTAATTCAGTCGATATTAAACAAGTCGGTAAAGATGGTAAATCAGTCGGTAATAATGGTCGGTAAATCGATAAAGATAGTAAATCGGTCGATAATAAATAAGTCGATAAAGATGGTAATTTTGTGGATAATAAACAAGTCGGTAATAACTGTCGGGAAGTCGATAAAAATGGTAATTCTGTCAAAAATAAATAAGTCGGCAATAACTGTCGGTAATTCGGTAAATATAGTAATTCGGTCGATAATAAACAAAACGGTAATAATTGTGGCTAAGTCAATAAAGATGATAATCTAGTGGGTAATATTATCGATAAGTTGATAACTATTACTATAATTTAAAATTTGTTAAACTTATTAGTATGCGAATAAAAATTTTATTAACAGTCGGTAACTATTATCAATAAATTTGTTACTAAGGTCGATAACTCGAGAATCGTTGTCGGTAAGTCTATAGATTTTAAGAACCCGCCGATAATAATAAACTTTGTAAACTAGTCGATAATACTTATCGACAAAAAGTTTCGGCAAGTCGATAACAAGTATTAACAGTCGCAATAATTACTGACATTAACGTCGATAAGTATTGTCAACTAGCCTATAATAATTATCGACATAAATGTCGGCAAGTCGATAATAATAACCAACCGTCGGTAATAATTATCGACATTAACGTCGATAAGTATTGTCAACTAGTCTATAATAATAATCGACACAAATGTCGGTAAGTCGATAATAATTACCAACAGTCGGTAAAAGCTATAGACAATTATAATTAAATTTAAAAAAATTTATATTATTTCTTTTCGCTACTTACCCTTGTCGTGTACGCTCCCTCCGTCGCGCTCTCGATCTCGCGACTCAAGCCAAAATCGGCAATTTTGCATACTAGAGCAGCATTGACGAGGACATTTCTCGCGGCAAGATCACGATGCACATAATTCATTTCGGCGAGATACTGCATACCGCTTGCAATGCCACGCAACATTCCAACAAGTTGAAGAACTTGAAATTTACCATCGTTTGCGCGTAAAAATGTATCGAGACTTCCATTCTCCATGAATTCAGTGATAATCATCACTGGATTACTCTTGGTCACCACCCCCTGAAGGAATATCACATTGGGGTGCTCAAACTGACCCATTATCGATGCTTCAGTCAGGAAGTCGTTGCGCGCCTTATCGGCTGAGCCCGGCTTCAATGTCTTTATTGCCACGTCAATTTCCGATCGACCGTCGGGTGGTAATTTTAATTTTCCACGGCACACGTCACCGAATTCACCTCCACCTGTAAATAGATGCAAAAAAATGTATTTCGTGTTTAAAAAAAATCGTAAATAGTATCATTCGATTCGTTGTGAAATTCTGAGAAAAAAAGTCTTTGGAGAAATTTTGATATAATTTGTACTTTAAGAGCTGGAGTGATTTAAAGTTTGTTCTATAGGTTCGGCCAAAGCGTTCTGGCGTAAATTGTTCTAGATCCAACGGGATGAAAAAGTGGGAGGAGAAAAAATGTGACGGTCCCCAATTGTCCGGTGCTGGAGAATTCGCGGAAAAGTAGGGAGAGCAATTAACAAGAAAAAGTGGGGAGCGCGTTCGGCTAGTTGAACGCGAGGCCGAACACAATTTCAAATCTTAAAATCCCTCTAAATCAAAGAGATTTCGCTCTAGAGAAAAATTCCAAAGACATTTTTTTCTTTAGTTTTTCATTATCTATCCAATTAAACTATAACCAAAGGAAAAAATTAAAGGGAAAATTATAAAATTGGCAAAAAACTATCTATCGAGAAGAAAATCTTACCTATAATTGCCTCTATCGTGATATATCCAGCGTCAATTTCACGGGCAAATTCACGAACTGCTTGATTTGGATCCTCGTAAGTGTGAGGATCAACGTAACTCCTGGAGCTCGCGCCCCCTGCACCACCAGCACCCGCGCCAGCGACTCCCACTGCAGGTGTGAAGAGAGGCGTTGTCACTGCAATGTCACGAAAACAGAGTTCATTATATTTACAACGGGGCCGACCTTGTGAATTTTTGACGGAAATTTTTTCTTTTATTTTTTCATTTTAATTTAATTTTCAGTTATATCAACGTTTCTCAATTTCACTATTTTTTTTAAATTTCAAAATAATTTTATTTTATTTAAATTTTTCATAACCCAATTCCAAATTTTTCGATCAGTTAATTGTTAATACTGTAATTTAATTTTTTAACCACGTATTGAAATAAAATGTGAATAAAAAAATTTATAAACAAATATTAATAAAAAGTTATAAAAATAAAAATTAAAGAAATAAATACATATTAATACAAAATAATTATTAAAAAAAATGATTATTAAAAAAAGAATAAAAAATAATTATTAAAAACGAAATATTAAAAAATATTGTTTAATTTAAAAAAAAAATAATAAAGTATAAACTAAAAATTAAAAATGTAAATAAATAAAAAATGTAAACAATAATTAATAATGATATAAAATAATCATAATAATAATAATTTTTTAATATTAAATAAATTATATGCAATAAAAATAAAGAAATTATAAATTAATTAATTAAACAGAGAGTAAAACAAATTAAAAATTTCTTAAAAATTAATTTTGCTTTAATAATTAAGAATTAATAAATAAATTTAAAATTTAAAAAGTTTTTAATATGAAACAAATGAAAATGTTAATTAAAAATATAAAATAAATTCAAAAATAATTTAACAAAATATATTTATATTCAATTATTAATAAATAATAAAATAATAAAGTTAATTAAAGAAATGAAACAAACAAAATATTTAATAAATAAAATAGTAAAATTAACAATATTTAAAACAATTAAAAAAAGTTAAGCGAATAATTGAAAATAAAAATTCAATAAAAAGTTGATTTATTATAAAAATTAAAACGAAAATAAATAAAAATAATTTATTTATAAAATTACACAAAGTTTTAAATAATTTAAAAAATGAAATAAAAAAAATTGAAAAAAGTGAATAAAATCGAATATTAAAAAATAAAATTGAAAAATAAAAGGAAAAATAATAATTAAAAATAAAAAGAAGTTAAAACTTAGAAATTTTGAATGAAAAATAAAAGAATAAAAGAATAAATTTTCAAAAAATAAAAAATCAAACCAAAACACCATAAAAATGTTGTCCCTAAACAATCCTTTTTTATCGAGAACACGCAAAAAATACAATTTTTCCAAAAAATATCCCAAATTCCAAGACATTGAGTTTCAAGTGAAAATTTTTTAATTTTCACTTTTTTTTGTCAGCCGCCAAAGATTCGAGTACAGCCAAAAAAAAATTTTCATGCATATTTTTATTTTTTGCTTAAAAAAAAATTTTTTCAAAAAGTGTCAAAGATAAAATTGTAATATTTTTTTTTATTTTTTATTTGTCAGTAAACATTGCAATACAATTCAACTGAAACAGTTGAATTCATTGGAACAAATCGATTTCAGCGCAAAATTTGCGCAAATTTCATTTATAAGAGACAAACTTTTTTTTTATTTATTGTGCAGAAATTAATAATTACGAAATTCTAACAAAGTAATAAATAATAAATTACCGTAGCGTGTAATTTAATTTATTTTGTTTTTTTTCCTCTTCTTTTTTGTTTACAAATTTTTATTAAACTTACGTCATTGTTTAACTGTCACTGGAAATATGTGCTTATTAACTTTCTAATACAACTAATTATTATTTACTTTGCGCTCAAGCCGCTTATTATTGTGACTTTTATTGACGTACTAATTCCATTGTCTCCGGAGATTTTCTTTTCTCATACAATAATTCTCTCTTTATTATTTTTTTCCTTTGATTTTTTTTTGAATTTTTTTTCTCTTTTTAATATTTTGAGTGAATCTTTATTTTTTTTGTATTTAATTTTGTAAATAAAGTTTGTAATTAATTTTTTTTTATTTGAATTTTGCGCTGAAATCGAATTGAATTGAAATTTCTTTTTTTACTGTTCTCGTTTTCAAAGAAATTGGAATTTTTTTTTGTTTAGGATTTATTTTATATTTTAATTAATAGAAGAAAAATAATTAAATTTATCAAAAGTAAAACATTTTATTTATAGTTGAAATTACAATATTTTTTGCCCGTTTGTATTAAATAATTTAAAATATTAAACAAAAAAATTTTTTTTTTAATTTTAATTCACAAAAGTAAAAATTTTCCACTAAAAAATTTTAATTGACGAAAGTAAAAATTTTTAATTAACTTTATTCAATAATTGAAAAATAGAAAATTTTTTCATTGCTTAGTTAATTAGACGATTAATAATTCATTGGACGGAATTTCATTTCCCTTTCTTTGAAAACGAGATTCGTAAAAATTTTTTTTTCCATGAAATTTATAAAAATATATTATATTATATATAAAAAAAATAACAGACATCAAAATTCGATTAAAAATTGAATAACATTTCCCTTGATATTAAACAATTGTATAACAAATATTTATATATTATTAAAGAATAATAAAAAGAAGATGCAAGGATCATGCTTCATTCCAATAAAGACTAAAAATCTAGAAGAAAACAAAAAGTGTTCGTGCAAAAAAAAATATTTCAAAACAAATAAAAAAAAAATAAAAATATTTTAGAAAAATATTTTTATATTATTTATTTTTTTAATTGTTAACAATTTTTTTTTTTTTTAATAAAAAAAAAACAAAAGCGCTTGTTTAAAAAATTTTATTTCTATTTAATTTTTTGTTATTTTGCATTTTGAGTCGCTTAAAAAATAAAAAAAAATCATTAAGACTTTTCTCTAGCGCTTCATTTTGACGATGCTAAAAGTTTCAACGCTTTATTTGTAGCATTTTGTTTATAAAATACTTAGATTTTGTTTTTAAAACGCCTAAAAAATCTTTAACATTTTTTTTCGAAACGTTTAAAATTTTAAAATGCAAAATGCAAAAAATGCGCTCGATTATTAAAGGTGTTAAAATTTTTCCAAAAAAAAAAGATAATTTCACCTTTTTTCAAAAAGCAACAGAAAAAAAACTTACACGACGATTTCGTCTTATTTGTGTGGGTTGTCACAATCGGTGAACTGTCCATTTTGCAGTGCACTGTGAACAACACAACAACCAATAAACTCATAAACAGCAACAGAAAATGCAAAAAAAAGAAAAATTAAATTTAAACTGTATTAAAATAAATTAATTTCAAAATTATTTTTTAATTCTAGCAAATTAATGTCTAAACAAATTTAAGAAAATAAACTAGAAAATTAATTTTAAAAATAAAAAGAAAGCAATAAAAAGAATTAAATTAGCAAAATTGCTTCTTACTTTTATTTCTGTTTAATGATAAAAATAATATCAATAAATAATTATTTTTGTCACTATTATTATTTGTAAAAAAAATTTAATTAGATCAATTATGTTAAGCGATAGAAAATAAATAATTTCATTTATTAATAAATAAATAAATAATTTCAATTAAATAAAATATTGCAAAAAAGGAAAAAATAAAAAAAATTGTAAACAAGCGCGCTTGTTAAATTAAAAAAAAACGATTGTGAGTGATTAGAAAAAATGCAGCATGCAATAAATAAAAAACAAACCAAACTATGCAGGCAAAGCGCGCACGCCCGCATAAGCACACAAAAAGCATTCAATTTTTTATTTTTTTTTTAAATTTGGTCAATTCGCAAAAAATTTTAAAAAAGCGTAATGCGCAGAATATATTAATTTTTTTTAATCAGGCAAAGATTAATTTTTAATGAAGGATTAATTTTCAATTTTTAATTAAAGATTAATTTTTAATAAAGGTTTGAGTTTCTTTCATCTACTATTAATTCAAAATTAATTAAAAGTAAATTTAAAATTTGGAAAAAAATTAAAGCAAACATTTTTTGTTTAAGCGCTGATAAAGCTTTTGAAAAAAATGTCTAAAGCACAAATTTTGAAGCGTTAAATATTTAACTGCCCTCAATATCAAACTAAATTAATATTCATTTTTATTAATAATTATTAGTTAATAATAATTTTTTAATTAAAAATTATTAATTAATAATAATAGTATTTTAATTAATAATTATTCATTAAAAAAAATTTTTTAATTAATAATATTTAAATGAATAACCATTAATAATTAATTAATTAATTAATTAATTATTGATTAATTAATTAATTATTTCATAAAATTTAATTATTTATTAATTTAATTTAATTTGAAGCTTGAAAGAAATTTTTTTTTATTAAAAAGCGGAAAAAACTGTCAGTGCTCAAAATTTGAAAGTGAGAAAAATTGTAAGTGCTCGAAATTTAAGATATTGAGAAATCCTTGTTTTTCAATTATTATTTTAATTTTAATTTCAATTTTAATTACAATTTTAATTACAATTGAAAATTTTAATTGAAAATCTCTTATTATAATTTTGAATTTTAATTATTTTGAATTCTAATTTTCAATTTTAATTTTCAATTTTTATTTATAAATTCTTATTTATAATTTTCAATTCTAATTTTTAATTTTCAATTTCAATTTTTAATTTTAATTTCCAATTTTTAATTAAATATAAAAAATAATTTTTTAACCCAGTAATAAAAGAAATTTCAATTATTATTAAAGTGAAAAATGAAAATAATTTTTTTTTAATTTTAATGAAGTTTTTAATTCTTAAATTATTTATTTAATTTCAAATCTCTTCAAATTGAAAAAATCGATAATTTTTTTTGAATTGAAAGAAAAGTAGGTAATTTTTTCAAAAGGAAAAAAACAATTTCCTTGAATTGAATAAAAGTAATTTTATCAAAGTGAAAGAAATATTTTTTTTCGAATTGAAAAAATTAATTTCTTCGAATTGAAAAAAATAATTTTTTCGAAGTGAAAAAAAACAACATTTTTTCCATTTGCTTTCATATTTGCGCAAAAATATTTTTTTTTTCATTTATTCATAAACAATTTACGAACAACAGTCGTAAATTATTGCCCGGATTTTTTTCGTGTGCGTATGCGCTCGTTTGCATTTAAAAAAAAAGAAAAAAGATTTTTTACTACAATTTCCTTTTTTTTCACTAAATCTATTTTTCATTCTCAGGGGTGCAATGTGACAAAAACTACCACAAATAAATCTAATTATACAAAAAAAATCACTAAGAAAAAAAATGTAAAAAAAAATTTTAGTCCGAGACCCTAAAAAAAAAAATTTTTTTTTTTTTTTTTTTGAAAGAGGTGCTTGGATATTTTTGACTTACTGTAGGTCACAACTAGTCCTGAAGTAGCAGGCGATTGTGTACATTGTTTCATTAGGTTCATTAGGTTTTTTGATGGAGGCAGGTTCAATAGTTTAGGGTTAACGCACATGAAAAGAAATAATTGAAAGAATTTCGTTAGAAAATATGGCACACACAATGCGGGCCAGTCAAAAAAATTCAATATTTTTCTCATAGCCAAATATTATACATATTTTTTTTTAATTATTTTTAAAATTTCAATTTTTTTAATTTTTTAATTTTTAAAAAATTTAAAAAAATTTTTTAATTTTATTTTTATAATTGAACAATTTATTTTATTCGACATTTTTTCATTAGAACAATATTTTTGTTACAATTTTTCGAATAATAAATTTCGTTTTTTGAAGAAATTCCCTTTTACTAAAAATTTTTTTTTCATTAGAACAATATTTTTGTAACAATTTTTATATAATAAATTTTGTTTTTTCGAAAAAATTCCCTTTTACTAAAAATATTTTTTCATTAAAACAATTTTAAAATTTTTTTCCACTATGAACATTTCTTTTTTTAACAAAATTTTTTATGAATTGATTTTTTTTTATTCTGAACCTTCTTTTTACGTGGAAAAATTGTTTATTTAAAGCAAATTTTTTAATTAACAATTTTTTTACCGAAGCAATTTTTTGTAGTAAAAATATTTGTTTAATTTTTTTGAAATTAAATTTTTTCTTTAAAACAATTTTTTTTTACTCAAAATATTTTTTTATTTAAACAATTTTGTCTTTATCAACTAATTTGCTTTTATTAAATTTTTCTTTCAACTAATTTTTTATTTTACGAAAAGTAATTTTGCCCTTGAAACAATTTTTTTTACTGAAACAAATTTATCCCTTGAAACAATTTTTTTTTTCGAAAACAAATTTTCTTATAAAAACAATTTTTAACAAAATATTTTCATTTTTTTTTAATTTATTTTTTCTTTCTGTTTTGACCATTCTGAATATTTTAGTAGTTATTTATCAAATAATTTTAATGGAAATTGTTCTAATTTCTCCGATAATTTTACTGAATTCTTTGTTTCAAAATTTACTAAATTTATTTAAGTTTTGTTCTAATTTTTTTTTTTTTTTTTTTTTTTTTTTTTTTTTAATTGAAGTAATTGATTTTTTTCTCTTCTAATTTTACTGAATTATTTAAAACATTTTTCTACAAATTTCGATTTTTATTAAAACAATTTTCCTTTTTATCTCAATTAAAAAAAAAAGTAAAAAAAAAATTAAAAATTCAATTATCTTTCCTCTTTTTTTCCAAGTTTTTTTTTTATTTCGTGTCTAAAAAGGGTTCACTCAACAACAATGTGAGAAAATCATTAAAGATTTAAAAGATAATATACGAGGGTGTGATATATATATATAGTATACTTGCTAAGACTAAAGAGGGGTGGGGGGGATGGTTTCAAATATTAGTCACAAGACAGGAGGGCGTAAGTGAGACAACTATATATAGAGCAATAAGGGGTTGTGAATAAATTTTCTATTTATAGAAAAAAAAATAATAAAAAAAAATATTATATATATATATATAGGTATATGAAAGAGTATAGATAAAATATTTGAAGTTTAGAGAATAAAATTAGGAAAAAATGCACACACGTACCTTCGCCATTTCTGTATTCCAATGTGTCGCAATCGCTTGGCTGCTTCTTGTTGCATTCGTCAGAGGCCCTGCTGCATCGATATTCGATTATATAATGCGGAATATTTTATTTTTTCAACTTAAAAAAAAGGGAGGAAAATATTTTTTTCTTTATTAATTTTCCTATTTTTAATATTTTTTCTCATATTTATTTTTTTTTATTATTATTTTTTGTTGTTTATTTTTATCACTTTTATTTATTTCAATTCGTTTTCTAATTATTTTTATTTACTTTTTTATTTTTTTTTGTTTATTTTTTTATTTTTATTTATTTCTCATCGTTTTGTAATTATTTTATTTATTTTTATTTACTTCTTTCATTATTTTTTGCCTATCTTCATTAGTTTTGTTTATTATTTGTTGTCGTTATTTTTACTTACTTTTTTTACTATTTTTCATTTTTATTTTATTTATTTTTTATTTTATTTCATTTTATTTTTTATTTTTATCATTTACTATTTGCATTTATTTTTTGTTTATTTTCATTCAATATTTTTATTATTTTTCAATTTTTTTTATTATTTTTATTTATTTATATATTTTTTTATTTATAACTTGTAATAAATAAATATTTATAGTGAATATTTTTATTATTTTTTTTATTATTTTGCAATTTTTATTGAAATAAAATGTTTATTATTAATTTTTTCCAAAATATACGATTTATTCCCAACGGGTCACCCATCCAAATAGTAACCTCGCTCAAAGCTGCTTAACTTTATTGATCAGGCAGCAAGCACTTAGTTACACCTTTATACACTAACGCACTTCATTCATTATTATTTTTTATACATTACTTCTATTGCCATTAATTTTTTTTAATGCTTTTATTACTTTATTTATTTTTTATTATGTTTTTACTTTATTTATTACTTTTTATTATTATTATTTATTAAAAATAGGGAAAATTAATAATTATATAATATTTTCTTTTGCAAAATAAAAATGTTTCCAAATTTCATATAAATTTTGTAATCAATATTTTTTATAAAGAAAAGAAACAAAATAGAAAAAAAAATAAAAAAAAATTGTCAAGTATAATAAAATTGATATTACCTTCTGAGGAAGAGAACAGTCATAATAATAATAATGACAAGAAGAACGACAACAGCGACAATTGCTCCGGCAATGATCCGCACCTGCATATTGTCCTCGTCACCAACATAATCTGTTAAATAAATAAACAAATAAATATATAAATAACAACAAATATTATTTTACAAAAACAAATTATTTAAAAAAAATTGTTTTCAGTAATTAATTTTTATTTTTTATCTACGAATAAATTTAATTAGAAATGAAATAAATAAATAAACAAAAATTTATAAATATAAACAAACAACCAAAAATAAATAAATTAATAAATAAACAATAACTATTCGACTACTTTTATTAATTGTTTTCTTTTCTTTTATTTATTTTTAATAAAAAAATTTTTTTTTTAAATAATTAATTGAAAATATTTTTTTTGTATTAATTTATTAATTATTAATATTAAAATTTTTAAAAATTAAAATACATTTTTTAAAATTAAAATACATTTTTTAAAATTAAAAAAAAATTGAAAAAAGAAACTCACCGAGTCCCATTGCATGGGGTGTCTTTTTGTAAACGACCGGCGTGTACTCGCCCCAACCTCTGGTAGTTTTAGCTCTAACTTGAAAAGCGTATTCGGTTCCTGGCTTGAGACCCTTAATAGTCGCTGAGAGATCCGAAGTTTCAATGACAGTTGCATTCGAAGCGTCATTCGTGTGCGGATAGCATCTCACTAAAAAGAGAGGCTCTTTTGGAGACAAATCGAAGCGTCTCTGTTAATATCACTACATTCTTTTTTCATTCAGGATTAAAATTAAAATAAAAATTCAAAAAGAAAGAAAAAAACTTCTCACAACATGCAAAAACAACAAAAATTGTGTTTCAATTTTCAGAAAAAGTATCATAATTATCAAAGATTTATTTAGAAGAATTTCAAAATTGTCCCATTTGAATTGTCACTAAATTCTGAATAAAAAAGTCCTTTGCGAAATTTTGATAGAATTAAAAGTTTTCGTGATAGAGAATTTTAAAGTTCGGTGAATTGTTCGGCTGGAGCGTTTGAGGTAAATAGTGGTGGGGGAAATGTCGAACAAATAGAGCGTCATGTATGAAAGTAGTGGGGCGAAGCAGTTCCTTGAGTTACTGAATAGATTCTAGAGGAAGTAGTGGGGAAGCTTCATCCCGATTGGCCGACGCGCCTCAAGGACACGCCGGGAAGAGTGGGGGGAGAGCGTTCGGCTCACAACGCGCGGCCGAACGCTTATAAAAAACTTTAAATCCCTTTATTACGAATAATATTAGTTGTAGAAAAAAATTTCCAAAAGATTTTTTACTTAATATTCCCCAATCCCTCTATCTCGAATAATATTAGTCGTAGAAAAAAATTTCCAAAAGACTTTTTACTTATTTTTCCCCAATCTTTCCATTCCCGTTATAGCCGATTGGGTAAAAGAATCCCCAAGACTAAAAAATCAATTTTTGTGTGTAAAATTCATAAAAACGTAAAGTTTACATCTAAATTTCGTAATGTAGATAAAAATAAATAAAACTGTAAACTAAAAATAAACTAAATAAAACTATTCTGAACAAAAAAGGCTCTTGCGAAATCTTTATAGAATTAAAAGTTTTTGTAATAGAGAGTTTTAATGTTCGGTTGAGGCGTTTTAGATGAATTGTGGAGGGGGAAATGGGGAATAAGTAGAGCGTCATGTGTGGAAGTAGTGGGGCGGAGCGGTTCCCTGATTGGCCGACGCGTCTCAAGGACACGCCGGGAAGAGTGGGGGGAGAGCGTTCGGCTCACAACGCGCGGCCCAACGCTTATAAAAAACTTAAAATTCCTCTATCTCGAATAATATTAGTCGTAGAAAAAAATTTCAAATAGACTTTTTACTTATTTTTTCCCAATCTTTCCATTCCCGTTATAGCCGATTGGGGAAGAAAATTCCCAACACTAAAAAATCAATTTTTGTGTGTAAAATTCATAAAAACGTGAAGTTTATGACTAAATTTCGTAACGTAGATAAAGAAAAATAAAACTATGTAATATTTTGGATGTTAGGTTTAAAAAATGGGTAGTTTTTCTAACTTAATTTTAAATTAGTTCTAATTATTACGGGTTTAAAATTGTTTTGCTCACCTTCGTAACGTTCGACCAGATCACTATCGCCAGCAATGTCGGCAACAGGCGCGTCCCAACTGATACTAAGTTCCGTACTCTTGACACTTGTAATTCTGACATTACTGACCAAATTCGGTACACTCGCCTCAGTTGTCACAGTGATATCGACATATTCACTTTTGCCGACCAATTGCGAGACGCCATTTTCGGCGAATACTTGAAATCGATATGTCGTCACTGCATTTAAATCGGTGATGGTAATTTTTGTATCGTTGAATGTCTCGGTATTGGTGGGAATATATTTAACGCCCGAACTGCATGAATCGCAAACAACACGATATGTCGTATCGAGACGACCACCGAGTAAATGTGGTGAATTCCATGAGAGAATAACTGTGGATTGATCGACAAAATTAACGGTGAGATTTTGTGGTGCCGATGGTGGTTGTGTGCAGGGCATTTTCTTCGGATCGTCGGGCGCGCGATAATAGCCAGAATCGCAGCGACATTCAGTGAAACCATAATCGGGTGCTTTACTGTGCGCTGGACATGGTTCACATTGATTTGAACCGGGTTCATGCTTGAAGCGTCCAATTGGACATTGATTGCATTGTTGTTTTTCGGAGTCGGCCTGAAAGCCGGGTTTACAGTGACAACCGCCGGCTGGCAGATACCATTTGCCATCGCCTTTGCATAAAAATGTGGGTTGTTCGATTTTCACGGCGTGTGCGACGCATGTGCCTTTTGCCTGTTCGATGAGTGCCACTTCGCGACCTGTTGGCGTTTTGGGGAAATGGGCAAAGTTTACTGACACCTCGGGACAACTTATGTAGTAGACTTTTATGGCGAGGATTGATATGCATGCGCCTTGATCGCGGAATGCAAAGTAAACACCCTTTTTGGTCACGGGAATTGATTTCACTTCGGTGTTGATTATTACTTCTGTGTTTGTATTGAAACGACCCTCGCCTGCTGCGATTCGACCTGAAACATTGATTGGAAAAAAACGGTTTTTTAGTTTCTATTTTTGGAGAAAGAGATGAAGAAGAAAAAACAGATGTTTTAGAGGAAATGAAAAAAGAAAAAAAGGAAGAAGAAAAACAAAAAGTTTTTAATTAAAAAAAAATTCCAAAAACCGTAAAACTCACCAATGAGTTTATAACTATCAGGTTCCCATGGCGGTGGCTCCTTAGTGGCAGCATCGAATTCATAATAAAGAAGACTAAATGTTTCCTTGCAGCTAAGCGCATTTCCCGGGAATAGGGAACAGTCTCTTGTCGTGAATTTAATTTCAATGTACATCCGGTTCGCGGGTCCCCTCTCAATAAATGGCGTCCAAAGCCAATTGTTCACGTTATTGTAGGCAACATCGCAAACCACATAACTCCTCCAGTTGATTCCCTTGTCGAAGTTGGTGAACGACTCCTCCACCCACTAAAATCAAAAAAGAGAAGAAAAAAAAGTTATAAAACAACTTTTCAAACTGCCAGGGTAAAGTCACATGGAGAGAGAGAGAGTTTATCTTTCCCGGCTTTCTACACTTTACTCAGCTTCTCTCTGCCACGATCTCGCCCCAAGGACCGACTACAAAGAATAAAACAGATTCTGTAACCAAGGAAACTTCTCTGATCGAACTTTCCAGACGAAATTCCACATCAAAAAAAAAAAGTAAGAAGCGAAATTAAAAGGTCTTCAAAGGAAAATTAAAAGACTCTAATTTTTCACTTTTCGAAAAATAATTCTTTTCTATGTTATTATTATTAATATTATTATTGTTAATTAGACTTAGAATTTGATTTCTAATTATTCAAGTAGATATTTGAGTAATTTTCAGAATATTTTTAGAGAAAAAAAAATTCCCCCTTATGGGGACTCGAACCCTTGAGACATTCCCTCTAAGCAACCGCTTAGCCCTCTCGGCCAATTCACACTTTTTTCTAAACTTAAAATTTAAGAATTTCTTTTCTATTTTCTCGCGCAAATTACAAACAATTATGGAATAAATAAAAAAAATATTACCGAATAGAAAATAATTACCGAAAAATTAATTAAAAACCAGAAAAAATTTCCAATCATCTGGATATTAAAATGAAATTCAGTGATTTTTCGTACATAAATGAACGTTTGCTCTGATGCGTGAGGATATAAAATCCAAAGCAGTGTTTTCAAAACATTGTACGTTGAGCGCATCAGGTCTTTAATGTTGGGTTGCGCCAATTCAATTTTTATTGTTCAACCGAGGAACAACGAGAAGCCATTAAAAGAGGAAATTCTGAGCTCTCACCGCGCGTTGGTATCGCAGAAAATTGCTAAGTGCCGTTAAACACCGGGAGTAATTGAATTTTGCCTCGCGAGCCTGAATATAAACCCTTTTTCTTTTTTTTTTTTTTTTGCTTTTTGTTTTTTATTCATTGCACAGTATAATAATTTTTTTTAAAGCAATCCCTCCGAGAGATGAAACCTATCTTCTTATTCGTTTCGAAACAAAAAATTCCCTCCCCCCACCATTAAAAAAAACTTTTCTATCCAGGGAAAAAATTTTTTTTAATTAAAATTTTTTTCTTTTTACAAAAATTATTTTTTAACAAAATAATTTCGTTTTTTATTCTTTTAATTGATTTAATTTTACATTTGGGTAAAAATAGAGAAAACAAATTCCATCCACCAAGTTTCGAATACCCTTGATTTATTTTTGAAGGGGGGGGATTCATAAATTATAATTATTAATAAATTAATTATAAATTAATAAATACGCTGTTTTATTAGAAAATAATTGTTAATTATAAAAGAAAAAAATGTCTTTGTTGAAAAAAAACGAAAAAAAATTTACACCTCAGGAAGAATTGAACCCTGGACCGAAAATCCATAAAGCAGTGACTTTTACCCACGGCTAGTGTCTACAATTTTTTGTAAAAAATTTTACAAACTGATTTTTGATCAAATTTACCTAGAGAAACACATTTTCGCAACTATTTACCTTTTTCTATTTACTTCTTTTATTTCTATTTCAATTTTCGTTCTCATTTTATTAAAAAAAAAATTAAGTTCTTCAATTCCAGTGCAAAAAACACCCTTTAATTTTTTAATTCCACTGAAGAAGGTTACAATTTTTCTATAAAAAAAAAACTTTAAATCCTTTCAAAGAATAAAAAATAAAATAAATAAAACAAAATAAATAAACAAAATAAAAAAAATAATAAACAAAATTTTTAAAATTGGTTTTTTAATTTTACTGAAAAAGAATTTATAAAATCTTTTTTCATCTCAATTAAAAAAGAAAAAAATATTTGCAAACATGGAATAATCTGCGAAAACATTAAAATGTATATTAAATATATATTAACGACCTGTTTGTGGTAGTTGAGTTTAATTCTTTTTTTTTTACCCTCACAGTAATGTTGAAAGCAGTAAAGGAAAAAAATAATAATTTTCTTTTTATTTTACCATCCCGATGAAATTTCACTGTAATAAAGTTCCGGCTCGTATTTTACAGGCGAAAGACGACGCTTGGCGTCGAGGCGTCCAAATAAACCGCGCTTTATCGTCATCCCTAATAACCACCCCAGGAATTTACTGCGATCGTCTTAAACGAATTACGCGCACCACAAAAAGAATAAGAGTGAAATAAAGGGGTGGGGGTGTTTCTTAAATCAATTTTTATCCCCCCTCTTTGGAAAATCCCATCATTCTCACCCCAATTGACAAAAAAAAAATGCTAGTTAATTCAAATACAATAGTAATTAATTGTTCTGCAAAAAGCATTTTGTAAAAAATTTCAAGTTCCAAAAATTCTACTACATCAAATTTTAAAAAATATACATTTTTTTACAGTTTTTTAAAAATGTTTTAATGCTAAACTTTCAAAATTATACAAAAAAAAATTTTTACGGAAAAAACGGAGAGAAAAAAATTACAAATATAGCGGGTATCGAACCCCGGATGTAAAATTAGAAAACCAGTGGTATTACCACGAGACCATTTTGCAAAAGGATTTTTTTTCTTCTTTTTCTAAAGAATCACACATTTAATGCAACGAAATTACTTTCTATTATTCAAAACAATGAAAAATTAAATATGGAGTATAAAAAAAACAATTTAATTCTTTTATTTTAAATAATATTCGAATATTTATAATTTTACAATGCGTCTCAAAGTGAAACTTGTTTACACTAAACTATCGAAATACACATAAGCAATTTTTAATTATTATGAAAGAAAATGAAAGTAAAAAAAAATTACAAACAGCGAGTTTCGAACCCTGGGTGTAAAATTACAAGTACTGTGACAATACCACGAGACCATTTTACCAAAAAAAAATTTTTTTTTTTGCGTTATTAGTAAAGGAAATAATTCGAAATTTACGATTATTGTAAATTAATTAAAACTTTCAGTCGAATCGATATAAAGACATTATCTTCTGTGGTAGAAGGGAATAAAGCAACAAAGGGGCGGGAGAGAGGGAGGGAGGGAAATTTCACTGGATTATGGTTCGAAATACTGTATATTTGATATACATTAGTATAATTGAACCACGCCTTCATTAAAGTAAGTTCCTTAATAGACTTAGACTCAAGTTTTCGGTTCTATTCGCACTTTCAACTCCCCCTCCCCATTTCGCCCCAAACCAAACCCCTAAAAGTAACCCCCACAGTCTCACTATATATGTATATATATATATATGTATATAACGAGTGCAAGTGGCAATAATAGATATGAACTGCCGTTAGAAATAAACCCAATAAGCTCCGGCGCCGATTTTACTCCGAATGAAAATGTGCTCTTCACCCCTGGTTTGCCCCCCCCACCCCTCAAAAACTTCTCTCAGACACATACAGAGTTAATATTACCACCATAATCGCAATTCCAATGGTGTTTTCCAAATGTTGAAGGGTGTGGAGACAAGGGTTGAACGAGGGGTCGAAATTTATATAACGAGAAGGGGGAAAAAGAGGAAATAAAAAAAGGAGGAAAAAAAATTGGACAAATTTATTAAAAGCGTTTTTTTTGCTTTTGTAAAAATATTATTTCATTTTCTAATTAGCAAAGAAATAATTCATTTCAATCGAATCTGGAATCAAATTTTTAGTGTGGGAAATAAAATTTTTAACTATCAACCGTCGGTAAGGTAGAAATCTTCTTTGTCGACAATAAATCAAGTACCTTTCTTTTCAATCCTCCTATGGTAATATACCGACTGTTGTTAAAGTGTCTTTACCGACTTGTCAATCTACTTATATCGACAAAAAATCCAGATGTCAAGAAATTTCCTTCTAAACGTACTTACTTGTCGTGGTATGAACACTCAACGAAGTAAATAAACTATATTCTCAATGACCAGTAAAAATTTACCGACTGTCGGTAAGGTAGAAACATACCCTTATTGACAATAAATCGAGTTATAAATATGACGTTCAAACGTAATTATTTTAAGTAGTATAAATACTCAACGAAGTAAATAAACTATAATTTTAATTACCAGTAAAAAAATTTACCGATTGTCGGTAAAGTAGAAACCAGTATTTATCGATAATGCATACAATTATCATTGAGGTAGCTAAGCTTTGTCAGAAGAGGACTCCTAATATTAATTAGTGAATTACCACTGTCGCTGTATCGACTGTTGGCAAATGAGAAAACTTTCATTTTCGACTGTTGATTCAGGAGAGATTTTAGATTTACTATTGTCGTTAATGTTGGATTTATAGACAATTCACGCTACTAGTAAACAGACTGTCAATAAGTAAAAAAATTGTATGTTATTACCAACTGTCGGTAATGTAGGGAGTCTCTGTATCAACTGTAGATATTCTTTTATCGAAAATCCACCGAAAAGGAGTTCATTTTTTTCGGAAAAATTGTCTTTTAATGGAAAAATGAAATAAAAATAAAAGAATTTCATTTAGAATAGAAAAAAATGAAATAAAAATTATAGATTTCCTTTTTTTTTTGGAAAAAATTGTCTTTTAATGGAAAAATGAAACAAGAATAAAATAATTAATTTAGAATAGGAAAAAATGTAATTAAAATAACAGATTTAATTTAGAAAACAAATAAAATGAAAAAAAAAATAATTTGAGAAATGAATAATAAAAAAAAATTTATTTAATAAATAATGTGAGTAATTATTATTTTCTTTTAATTATGAAATAATTGGACATTTTTTTTCACTGCGATTGCAAATAAAATGTCAATATTTTGAAATAAAATGATAATTATCGTTTTTCGATTCTTTTTGTTTGTTTTCTGTTTTTTTTGCTTATATTGAATATTTGCGATATGATTCATGAGTGTAATTTGAAGCGCACATTTTACAATGTTTATTGGCCAATAAAAATATCTTCTAATTGGTACGTAAAATATTCTAGTTTTACAATCGTGCATTTTCTTTTTATAGTGTTTTACTGTTTTCTCAAGCTCAAGAATATATATCACGT